CTAATTGATCTTTCTGGAGTTCATCGCTGCTTGTCTCGGAAATGTATACCTCGACAGTTTGTTCTCGCTTCTGTCCTGCATATTTCTTAGCGACAAATAATGTATTACTATTCACATTTGACTCGTTCGAGCTGCTGCTGCTGTAGGCTTTTGCTCTATTTGGTAATTTGCGAAATCTCTTATGCATATTATTACCGATATCAAACACAATTGGCTAAATATGGGCGCCGAAATTTGAAGACAGCTGATCTGCGCTCCAGGGCTGCACAAAACATTTCTGGTGATGCAAATATTCCATCTCAAATTAAATCGATAGTTTTCATAGACTAACCTAAATTTGAGTTGGCCTTTATATACTTATTTTTTCGCAAACTATTAGCATTGATAAGTAAACAGTCTAACTAGCACATGATTCAAAAGCTTTGACAGGCTGCCTAGGCCTCTGTCCCCTTCCCCATTTACCCATTTTCCAATCAGAATGACAAGAAATTTTTTGGCTGTTATCTTTAATTTTGGGAATAATATAAATTATAATAATCATATATTTATTACGCTGTTCGTAATGTTGTTGTTTTACTTCCCGTTTTACTATGTACGTATGGATGTTAAGTGTTTGTGTCGGTTTGTGTATTGGAGTAGTGTTTTTTGAAAGCTTTTTGTTAATTATAACTATAGTTGTTATGAAGTATTCTGAATGAAGTTTTTAGGTGAAATTACAATTGATTTTGTTTTCATTCATACATATTTAACAATAATAAATTACCGTAATAGTTAATTTCGGCGCACATTTGAAATGTTTAATGTCTAAATTGTAAGTCAAAACTCATATATTATCCTCATTGTCCTGGTTATAACGTTTCAAAAACGCTTCAATTTTAATACAAATATTTAAATAGCAAAAGAGTTTCACAAAAAGGGGGACGTAAAAATTAATTAACTGTTTTTACGAAAAGTAGTAGTAACAGTAAATAGGCAAAGGTGTACATACATAGGGTCTATATACGTCTACAAGCGACCGAGGATCTCGAACTGGAACTGGAACAACAACAAACCGAACTCTGAACAATTTTTAAAAGCGAGCTAGACGGAAGCTGGAGCAGTGATGGGAAAAAATTAAGTTTGTGTATTTTGGTGTGTGTGTATGCATGTGTGAGAGTGTTTCCGTTTTGTCTTTCCTTTTTAGTTAAATTCGCGATATGATGCAGCTGCATTTACTCCTTTACGCTATTACATACAATATATTGTGTGTACTTGTTGTTACTACTTATTTATGTATTCTGCTTTATCGTTTTTTATCGTTATCATTTTGTTTGCTTTGTCTAAATTATTGTTTAGTTACTCACAAGCGCTGTCGTCATCGGTCGTCGGTCATCGTCATCGTGGTTGTCTTCGTCTCTTGTGTGTGTATTGCAATTGCTTATGCATCTGCATTCGGTTGTGGATAATCCACGCCCTGCACACACATTCTGTATTTATGCTCACGTCCGTTGTCTGTTTTTGTCCTCCTGCTTTCGTCTTCGCTATCGTCATCCTGCCATACAGCCAAGGCCAAAATGTTCTTGTTCTCGTTCTCCTTCGACTTCTCGTTATAGCTGCCCACTAAGCCTCGGGCAGCGGTTTCAGCTCCCTTATCTGCTTAATCAGATAAGCCTTCTCGTCGTTAAACTGCTCATCCTCGGATCGGTCCGTATGGAAGCTGGTTAAGAAGTCGACCAGTTTCGTTTGATTGCGCAGCAGGATATCCAAAATCGGTTTCGGCTTATTTGGGTTCGCGACAAACACTTTGAAGACATGAAACGCTTCGAATTGTATGTTGCGTGATCTCTCCTTTAGCATGTTCATCATTAGCTTCAGGTTCTCCGGTTCTGATATATATCGCGTCATCACGGTAAAGTTATGTCTATCGAGCAGCAGTTCACCGAGCAGCTTTAGACTCTGGCGCCGTGTCACATAATTCTCAGAGTTCAGCAGTCGCTGATAATGCTGAGCGAAGAACTTATCGTAGTTGGCGTCCAGGAATTCGGCGCACAAGAGTTTGTGGCGTGTCAGCAGCTCTTTGAACGTGGAGAAGGCATCGGAGGCGATGTCAAACGTTGACACTTCCACATACCGAAAGAACTTAAAAAATTCATCCGAATGCAGCATGATTTTTGCTAGCGCCTCATAGCGGGCGCATTCGCGCAGCATTGTGCCCGAATTGAGGGCTATCTCCGGATGTGCATCCTCATAGCCGGCCATCAATGTAAATAGAATTTCTGGCTTCGTACATATGTATTCTACTGTGGGCGAACGGGTACCTATCTGCCGGCGCAGCACATTATTGAAAATGAGCGCCACATGTTTCTTACCCTCGAAATCGATGCGATGCAAGTTCTGTATTAGCAGTAAGAGTAAGTTACTGTTATACAGCTCCTGCGATAGCTGCGCGACTACATAGTCCGCTGGCGGTTCCGCATCACTGCTGCCGTACAGCATGTTCTTGATCGATACCAGATTTTTGCTAACATCCTCTTGTGCCTTCTCCACTTTGCGGTCCCCCGATTCCAATGCGTTTATTGCCTCCTTCAGCGACTTGACCAATTCAGCTGGCGTTTTCTGTGATTTACCAAAGAGTGGCATTGTAAAAGCTGCTAGTTGCTGTTGCTTCTTCTGCTGGCTGAATTTCCTCTTGTTGTTGCTGCTGCCGTTGTTGATAGCGCAATTGGTTTACTGCTAGACGTTCTGGGTTACTGCTGGTTTGTTATTCAATTACCGGTTTGCAGACACAAAACAATGCTTGGTTATATATCACAGTATAAATAATATTCTATTATTATATATTATTTCGTCTTTTTTCCTCTTTCTCTTCTTCTTTTCTTTATGAAAAAAAAGAACGAATGCCAAAACAGAAATGTTATTTAACATAACATGAGAAATAACATTACCAATTGCGGCACTGTTATGAACACCGAGCGATATTTCATGCCCGCCCAAAGAAATGCCATTATTTGTTATTTACCACTATTGTAAAATCAAAACAGATAAAATTTTGTAGTGTAATTCAATACAATATATGTTCAAATGGCACTAGGAATTCACATACTTGAATTCAAGAGCAGCAGTAGTATTCCAATATGTTTCACTGTAGAAAATTTTATTCAACGAAGGAAACTAGTTCAGTTCTCAACTGGTGCTGTGAAGTGGAAACATTATCTATCGATGTAATGCCAATCGATTGCGATAAGGCTATCGATATTTCGATATTGCCAAAAACTTTGAATTCAAATTTAAACATTCATCAGAATTCTAATGTAAGTTTGACTTTTAGTAAATATATAGAATGTACTAATATTGTTTTTCGAAATAATAATAATTACCTGTCCAAATATAAATTTTCTTCACAACGCATTTATTTTTAAATATCATTTTATTTCTCGTTGAAGTATTTTTGATCCGTTTCTTTTTAAATATTGTATATGTATTTATAGATATATTCCAAGCGCTTTCAAACGCACAGATTTTATAGAAGTTACAGAAATATAGTATTTATATTTATATATAAATATATGTTTCGAATGCACATTGTCTTTGTCATTTTATTTAGGGAGAGCTATTTTTTTTTTTTTTTTTTTTTTTTTTTTTTTTTTTTTTTAAAAAAGTTTTTTTTTTTTTTTTTTTTTAAAAAAAAAAATTTTTTTTTTTTTTTTTTTTTTTTTTTTTTTTTTTT